AAAATTTACATTCAATAATAAATGCAATTGACTTCAAACTCAGTGTAAGGAATTAGCAGGGAATAATGAAGACTTGCGGTGTTAAGGAAGGAGCCAGATATTACTTGACTCCAAACTATGAGTATCTTCTCTCAAGATGGTTAAGTCTCCCATTTTTTTTAAAGATTTATTTATTTGCACATACAGGACTGGGGTACAGGCCAGAGGTGCAGGGGCAGTGAGAGGATTCACCAGAGACAGAGTGGGGAGCAGAACAGGCAGACTGATGAAGTACACTGCTGAGGGGAGCAGCCGGCGGGTCAGGAGAGGTCTGCCGCGCCACGTGGTCACCTCTGGGACAGGCGGGGGTTGGACTTTTTCTGAAGTTGCTTTTGCTTCTTAGCGCTGTGCTTTAACCCGCTGCGCCACCAGGGAGGGTCTAGTCTCCCATTTTTTAAAAAAGAAAGAAAATTGGCTTTTTAGAAGAAATTCCCCAATGATTACTTTTGACAACTCATTCAAAAGATTTAAAAATCTTTAAAGACACTATGTAAGTCAAACAAAACAAATCTGTCCAGATGATTCTTCATTGGTGGGAAACCACCAATTTTTAACATCTGGTCTAAACTCCAAGAGCTAGGAAATAATTTCAGTTCACCTTTATACTATAAATTCTATATTGGCTACCCAAGGAAGGGATGCAGTGTTTCGCCATCTGTTGGTGTGGCAAAAACCTAACAGATTTTGCTGCCAAATCAAGGAGTATTTTTCTTTGTATACAGAACCCAATGTCTCCATGTACTTGTTATCTGACTAGGAAAATTCTACAATTACACTGCTTCTACTTTTAAAATCTCCTTTGAATGCAAATGTAAGTATTTAACACACACACACACACACACACCCCATGGACTTTTTATTTTAAATGTGCCATTCCACTTCAATTTGTTTTCCCTGTTTAATCAAAAATTTTCATACAAAGTGGACCTTTGGCTCTGTGTTCCTCTGTTCTTTTTCATCATAGTACCTGCCGTCTGAAAAACATACAACCAGACTATATCAACTAAAAACATTTCAAATTAAAAATAACATTTCTCTCTATGGATAAGGAATGAGCCAAAAAAAAAAAAAAGTACAGTGGAGAAGAAAGATTATACTGTAAGCCAAATTAAATTCCAAAAATTAAAGTTATCCCAAGAATGGTGAAGAGTGAAGTCTGAAGTACAGCATGTGCCCACAGACAGTAGGCATAATTTTAACATTTCAGGGAACAAAGCCAAAAGTGAAACTCACAATTTGATAAAGTCCGGTTATCTATCCCTCTGAAAGGAGCCAAAGGTTATACTATCACAATAACGGTCTCTTTGCATATTGCAAAATCTTGGAAGTTTATTCATAGTGCACCAAAAACTCTATTAAACATACTCCTAGCGAAGGATAGCACAGTTTAATGGGCTTCATGTTCACATTCATTATTTTATGAAATCAAGACAAATTTTGTTCAGAAAGGGAAGGAGAGAAATTCAGGCACAGGCTTATGCATATGCAAGATATCATATTTCATTGACATCACTGATAATGTTAATTCATAGTTGTTATGAAGAAAAGAAGAATTGTGTTAAAGACTTTCAATTTCCAAGCTATGGTATACTACATATCAATTTACACACACACACATACATATATATATAACATATATATAGCTTTTATATGTGTATGTGTGTATGTGTACACAGAAATCCAAAAGTCATTAAAAATGTAATATAAATGGGGCCCTCCCTGGTGGCATAGCACGTTAAATCACAGCACTAAAAAGCTAAAGCTACTTCAGCATGAGTTCAATTCCCAGGAGGTGTTACATATGGCACGGCAGACTTCTCCTGGCCTACCACTGCTCACCTCAGCAGTGTACTTCCTCAGTGGGCCTGTTCTGTACCCCATTGTCTCTGGTGAATCCTCT